AATAAATCGTGAGCAGCTTTGGTTGGCGCTGATGGAAGAATTAAAAGCTTTTTCTCATAACGACATTCAGAATTTGATCAATTCAATTCCAAATCGAATGAGGAGTGTAATTCACAATAGAGGTGGTAATAAACAGTATTAATAATCACGACTTAATTGTAATTTTATAAAGAAAACAGAAAAAATGTACAATGGTAATGTTTTTTTTTATTTTTCAATAAAATGATTATTTTGGAGGAAGTTATTTTTTGACATTTGTTATTTAAAAAATAATTGCATACTGCTTTAGTCGATTATGTCATCTGCAAATGCTAGTATTTGCACGCTTCTATTAATGATTGTTCCTCGAATATTGACTGTTGTGTCCCTCAGTACTTTCTCGAGTACGATGTTGAACAAGATGCAAGATAGAGCGTCTCCCTGACGTAGTCCCTTTTTCACATCTATTGTTTCCGTTAATTCATTTTGTATCCGGATTTTACTTTCTACTTTTAGAGATTCTTTTATCAGTTCTATTAGTTGTGTTGGTATATTAAATTCTTTCATTGCTTTTATTAAGAATTCTCTGTTTATATTGTCATATGCGCTTTCAAAATTTATGAAGAGACGATGTGTGTCGATGTTGTATTCACTTGGTTTTTCGAGGATCTGTCGCAGAACAAATATCTGGTCTATTGTTGACTTCTGTCTACAGAAGCCACTTTGGTATTTGCCAACTATTTTTTCAGCGCGTGTTGTAAGTCTTTCATAAATGGCGTTGGACATTATTTTGTATGCTGCATTCAGCAGCGTGATTCCACGGTAGTTTCCACATACTAACTGATTTCCTTTTTTATGTAATGGTACAATAATACCGCTATTCCACTCCGCTGGTAGCTGTTTATTCGACCATATCTTTGTTATCAATTCATGTATTGTTTTTTGTAGTGCGTCTCCTCCTTCCTTCAGTAACTCCGATGTTGATCCGATCTCGGTGCTTTACTGTTCTGTAATTTGTCTACTGCTGTTCTAATCTCGGCTATAGTTGGTGGTGTCTTTTCTCTGTTGTCTGCTTGGTCTAATGGTATGTCAGGGTTCATCTCATTTTTATCATATCTTCTTTAAAAAAAACAGTTATTTCTTATTTGCTTTGAATTTAAAAAAAAAATATGTCATGTAGCCCACTAGCAAATCTCATCTCTAAAATTTGGTCCAGCTGTTAAAAATATTGGCCAGCCGTGCTATACCTATAGTATAGACTATTAAAACCTGCCCTTTGCTTCTTAAGCAGCTAAAAGTCAAGGAGAGGAGCTTGAGCAAAAATAAATTTGGTAAATTTTTAAGAACAACTCAAATCCATAGAAACGAAAACCTATGCAACTGCGGGAAAGTGACTATAATTTTGTTAATTTTATAAAAACATAAATCAGAATAAGAGGTTATCAAAAATATTAGCACACAAATTTAATAAAGACTGGAAAATGACCTACACACTTTTATTGACCACTTACTTAATTGAATTATTTCAAAACGAAGTTAAATGCAATTATCTCATTCATTATCATTATGTCATCTAAAAATAGATGTAGATTGCACAGGCTTATTTCATTAAAAGTGTTGTCACTATGTGGTTATTTCGAAATAAGCTTTTCCTATCGGAATATAAAAAATTATAAAATTCAATATATTTCTTCAGTGGTTTTTTACTGTCTATTTCTTTGCTACTACTGTAATAGGTTTGAAGTAAATATGCAATTTATATATATATATATATATATATATATATATATATATATATATATATATATATATATCAGAGTAAGAAAAAAGAAGTACTTCTTTCTTTTTACTAGAAGAAGAAAAATATAAAAACTGTTTTGGATGGGTTGGAGTCAATAAAAGGGGCTATTTGTTGACTATTTTTTACTCGAGCATTCAATTATTACAATTATTATCAAGAGCTTCTAAAAAATATAAAATATCTTAAAAAGTTGAACTAAAAATAAATTTTTTTAAGTTAACTCACCAAATAAAATTAAACATTGAATTGAAAATAAAACAAAAACAATTGAATTTGTAAACAAAAATTGAATAGTTACAAATAAGCCTCAATGTCATAAATACCAACTTAAAAAATTTTATTTTTGACATATTGTCAAAAATAAAGTTTTGTTTAAAAATTCTTTTTTGTTTAGTAACAAAAGATTTATTCACTATTGATAGATGTCTGAAAAAATGTAACAAATACATGGAAAATTCAAAATGTGATATTTTACTGATTTCATATATAATTATATATGAAATATAATACTGATTATATAATTTCATATATAATATACTGATTTTATATATGAAATCAGTAAAATATCACATTTTGAATTTTCCATGTATTTGTTACATTTTTTCAGGCATCTATCAATAGTGAATAAATCGTTTGTTACTAAACAAAAAAGAATTGTTAAACAAAACTTTATTTTTGACAGTATGTCAAAAATAAAATTTTTTAAGTTGGTATTTATGACATTAACGCTTATTTGTAACTATTCAATTTTTGTTTACAAATTCAATTGTTTTTGTTAAAAAACTTTTTCTAAATTTATTTCAGAGAAACATTTATTAGAATAGGACATTTTTTTATATTAATATTTTTTGTAATATTATGTTAGCAGCAGTTTTATATACAAAACTAATTTTATTTGGTGAGTTAACAAAAAAATTTTATTTCTAGTTCAACTTTTTAAGATATTTTTGTATTTTTTAGAAGCTCTTGATAATAATTGTAATCACAATTGAAAGCTCGAGTAAAAAATAGTCAACAAATAGCCCCTTTTATTGACTCCAACCCAGCCAAAACAGTTTTATATATATGGAATCGCCCAGTATTTCCGATTTTGTAAAGTATTTGTATATCCTTTATTATCACTGTTCCCTCTCTATTTTTTGTTCCGTTTATTTTGCCTTTATATTTTTAAAGTTATACTTCTATACGCACGGTCGGCGTTGGAAATTTGCATGAGAGTGAATCTGTGAAAACATTACACACATAAGATACATAAGAGTAAAAGAAAGACAGAAGATATATTTTCTCTCTCTTCCTCTCTTGAGAATAAAAATGTTCCTTTTGTATATATATATATCTATATATATATATATATATATATATATATATATATATATATATATATATATATATATATATATATATATATATATATATTATATATATATATATATATGATATAATATGTATTAATATTATTATTTATGTGATATGTTTTGTATTATTTTTTTAGTACTCCCATATAATTTTTTAACGGCGAACGCGTGTATAGAAGTATAACTTCTACCGGCAGTCCCACTGGACTGCCACACCCGTTTTTTTTTCAATGGAAAATGAACTACATTTTATACTAAACCAGTTTAATTACTATCAAAAAAAAAAAACAATCAAAAAATGTTCCAAATGCTTGAAATTAACAAAAAAGCAAAAAAACACGAACAAATGAAAACATTGCAATGGTTGACTAAAGAAAGATACAGTCTTGTTGTTCATTTTAATAGTCAGTGTTGCCACCTCTAGCTCTACTACAAGCTTCAATCAGACGGGGAATGCTTCTAATCAAATCGTCAACTTGTTCTTAAAGTAAATTTGCCCATTCTTCTAGAGCGGCTTGAATGAGCTGATCCGCATTACCTCGATTATCCCTTCGAGCTCTAATCCTCCTTTTAATGAGGTTCCACACATGCTCAACGGGATTAATATAGGTAAGCTGGCAGGCCAGCTCAGAACGGTGACATCTTCAGTTTCCAGAAAGTATGTAGCAACTCTGCTGGTATGTGGAGGGGCATTATCGTGCATGAAAATGAAAATATTTCCCACTGCACCTCGCCACAACTTAACTATGGGTTCTAGTACCAAATCGACATACCGGCGACCCGTTAAACTTTGCCGTAAGGGACGCAAAGGTGTTTTTTCTCCCATCATAATACCTCCCCAAAACAATACAGTTCCTCCTTTATATTTTGGAACGAATCTGGCAGTTTGCAGTCTAGCTTATCTGCCTCGACCTCTTAAAACCCAAAATTCGATGGTCATCTGATCTCAGGCCAATTCTGGTTTCGTCTGAAAAAAAATCATTTTGCCAATCTTCATTTGTGCAGTTCTGGTGTTCCAGACACCAATTCAGCCGATCAATTTTGTTCTGTCTGGATAACTGGGGAATCCTCAACTGTCTCCTGCTAAATAAATTTTCGTACTGTTTCAACTGAAATGTCAATACTTGTAGTCTGCAAAAGTTGCCCTTGGAGCTCCGGATGAGAAGAGGTTAGATTGTTTCTTGCTATTTGACCTAAAAACCGGTCTTGTCGATCAGTAGATACTCTACGACGACTTTCTCTAGGCCTGTTCTTCAGTGTACCCAATTCTAAAAATCTTGCAGATGTTTTGAAACAACGCTCTGCGAGACGTGTAGCGTAGCTAAAATTTGCCTTTGTGACATTCCCTGCTCAACAAGAGCAACAATTCTTCCCCTCTGAACATCTGACAAACCTAACTATGGCATATTACCTTTTTTGAACACAAACTTAACTTTACTCTGACGTCTCGGTTTTACAACTTGACACAAATAATAAAACTACCCTATATATAACCCCAAAATTTGTAAATGAAAATAAACAGTATTTTATAAGGTTGCTTCAATGGCTTGTTTGCATTTAATATGTTTTGATGATCTACTGTTACGACAACTACATTTTTACAAATTCATCAGTAGAAACTTTGGCAGAAATTGTCTTAATTAACTTGAAACTCTGGTCCATTCATATTTTTGAAAATGCAACATCTTAATATGTACTTATTATAAATTATTTTAGACAGAGATAGATAGAAAGCTACAATTACAAAAATATCTTTTTTGAAAGAGCTTTTTGAATAAAGCCATAAATAATTCAATTTTAGACAATCTCATATTGTAAATACTCAACAATATTCTGATTGAAATTAAGAATGGCAAGATACTTACTACGTTGGATGGCAACTTATGGCCTGGAAGATATTTAACATTTTCATGAGTTTCATTGATAATTTCAGTCAGCTTTTTTCCATTTATCATCTCTTCATAAACATACATTGTAACTCTATTATCCAGATTATCCAATCTTTCCGCATTATGACCTACAATTTTTGCAATTGCAGAGCCCCTGAAATATTTATTTTATTTTTAGAATGAACTTTAATAGTAAAATATAACAAACAAAAACCTTTACTCTGTTCAAGGTTAGTATTACCTAATATGTTAGGTTAGAATAAAAGTTTAGTAAATGAATTAAAAATCTAATAATTGTAACAAAATAATTATTTACCAGTTCCCACTGCCGACTATACAAATTTTTTTAGGTTGTGTACAATCACTGTGTGCCATTTTGACGTATCGCAAGTACAAATTTGACGAGAAAAAATTAAAGTTCTGCTTGCCAGGCTTGGCCAGATGTAACTGCTCGTTAAACTTGAATTTACTATCTAGCGATATCGTTACACTACTGTGACGTGCTGTTTTGATTGTGATAACCTTTCCAACTACATTTTTTATAATGTAATTTGTTGAAAGTTGTTTTATTAGCATATAGAATCTACAAGCATACACACAAAGATGGAAGGTAGTTAAGCAATTTTTATTTATTCTTTTTAAATTCTAATAGTACCAAAATACTATTATCAGTTTGATAGGTAAAATTTAAGGATTAACACATACATAGTGACCCCCACCTACAATCTAATCTAGGTTTATTTTTACATATTCTTTTATATTTAATTATCAGGATGCCTATTTGAAAATGCAAGCAAGGCTAACCCATCCCAGAAGATTATCTGCGCAAGGCAAAACTTTAATTTTTGTTAATTAGATAATTAAAATAGGTACATAGGTAGCTATTTATACGGCATATATAAAATTTGATCTTGTCTGCGGTACAAATTTGCAATAAAAATTACACCATGAATTAAAATATTAAATAGATATTTCTTTCAAATATGTTTAATTGAATATGGTTTGTTTTAAATTATTCATATATTTTTTGTTATTTTTAGGATAGCTAAAATAAAAGTTTTGTTTTGTAGATGTAAAGAGTTTCATCCATATCCAACATCAATCCATCAAATCTCCCAAAGGAAGATTTTAACAAATGAAGATTTAACCTAAATGCTTCACTGAAAAAATGCGCAATCTGAATTACTTGAAATAGATTTAATTTCATTTATTAAAACTATAAGTTTAAACAATTTTGTCAAATTATCCATAGATCATTTCAAAATAAAAAAAAAGGCTTTGACTTTACTATAAAACCACAGAAAAATATAAAATTGATCCTTCTGTGGTCTGTGATCGAACTCTGGACGTTCTGTGCTCTGGACTGGATAGAACCCATGGAACACAAGTTATGATACATAATGTTCCAAAATCAAGAAGAACACTTCCTCACGTAACATTTGAATGTAGTTTTAATTTAAGTTTTTTTTATATAATTTGGCTAATTTAATTATAGTAATTAAAAAGAGATGATAAAATTATGTTATTATAATATTTAATTAAGGTGTTATTATTAAGGTGATACTACAAAATAAATAATATCTTGTAGTATCACCTTATACTCCAGAGTTCGATATTTCAGATGTTTAAAAAGATACAAAAAAGTGGTATCTACATTTAAATGGGTCGAGTACTAAAAATTTTAAAATTATTTTCAAATATACATGGTATTTCCACTTCTTAATTTATTAATGATCACTTTGTAATGTAGGTACACAAAATTTGTACGTATCTATATTCTGAACTAAACACAAAATTAAAATAAGTAATGATAAAGTTAACTTTATTTAGATCGGACGAGCTAAGTGGCCATCGAATGTGAGTGTAGTGATTTCACACAATGTTTTAAATGACATCTTTTATAATTTTCACACATAAAATTATCTTGGTATTGTTTATTAATTATAATAATATGTCAGCACTGCGAGCCTAGTAGGCCCATGGCTGATGTACTATTCTTTGTCACTCTCTTTTCTTTCCAATTTCGTTACATTAAGTCTTCTCATATCTTCTTTAACTTCGTTGCTTCATCTTGATCTCGGTCTTCCTCTTCGCCTTTTACCTGCCAATGCACTAGAAGTCTTTGAACCTTGCCACATAACATATGTCATATGTTGCCACAAGATTTTACGCTCCCAATCTAATAAAACACCTGGTGTTTTTTCGTTATGACCCATTTTTCAGAAGCAAACATCACTATTGGCCTTATTACGGTGTTGTATGTGCTTAGATTTGCTCTTAGAAATATAGTTTTGCGTCTTAAAAAACCCATTGAGAGCATATACAGCGCGGTTGCCAGACATCATTCTGGCAATATTATGTACTCAAATCTTTTAACTTCTTCGAATTTATATTATGTAACCTTTGCTGTTATCATTGTTATGTACTGCCCCCGAACGAATTTCTTATTTGTGCATTTCATATACTTCGTTTTTGCTTTATTTATATACATTAGCTTGGTTTCTACCCTCTCTTTCAGTTTCATGACTGTTTCCATCATCTCTATTTTCCTTCTAGCCAAGATTACCAATTCGTTCGCAAATCCTAAGCAGTGATGTTTTTTGCGGTATATCAGACCTGTTCTATTAATATTTGCTTCCTGTATAACCGTTTCCAATATTATGCTAAACATTTTAAATTATATTGGACCTCAGAGATTTCTGTTATACTATTGTTTATCTAGACTTTATTCGGTGTCCTTTGAAGATTTAATGGTGTTGTTGTAATATGTTAATAGGAAAAAGTGGGAAATATAAAAAGTATGAGATAGATAGATTTATTAATGTAAATTTCTACATTATTACATTCCTCAAACATAAAAAACACAATACAATACACGAGACAGATACTCATCAATAGAAACTGTGGTAAATCAACAGTTCTTTAACACTATGTTAAAAATACTTAGAAGATAACTATTTAAATTGTACAGTTTTATGGACAAAGCTTACAAAAAGTCAGAAAATAAGAATAATTAAAATTTACTGAAATTATCAAAATCGTCAATATCACAAAATAAAAGATAATATAGTAAACAATTAATTGCAAAATTTAAATAAATTGCATAATAAAACATTACAAACTAATAAGTTGAAGTTGCTGCATATGATACCCAAATATAAGTAAAAATACTTAAGTAACTTGTACATAAAAGTACTGTAATTTCTTAGTTATTCGTTAAGACAGTCTTCTACTGAATATGGTCTTTCAGGTGGTAGCATCATTTTCAGAATGATCACTTGTATATTATATATAACGAATTCTTACTACTAGACAAAGAATATGATTTATTTGCAATTGGGACAAAGCTCATCTTCACATGTTCTAATTATCACAGGCTCTTTTAGGAGTTAGATTTGAATCTGTTAACATCTTCTGTATCATAGAAATACTCAAACTCTTTTTATGCATATCACAAGAGTCATGTTCTACAATGCTATCTTCATCAGATTCAAATAATTGGAATTGGTTCTTTTATTGCATATACTATAACAACAAGATATGCTCACTTGCCGTTCTAATTTTAATCGACTTTGAGCATGACGTCATAGCGAGACAAAGCCTGGGGCACTTATAACGATGCATCATATGGCAACGTTGTTCCATTACTGTAAGGAACAACTTCAAGGCTTTTACACAATGACGTATAATATATAGACTCGGTGAACGCTTTAAAAAGTGTCCAAAACATGAATACCTTTGTTATTGTTTATTGTTTTGATACGAAGATGCACGAAGTTCATGATTTCTTACGAAGCATCACGAAGTTGATCTTGTGTTTGAAAACATCATGGACGTATGAAAACATTTTCTCCATTTTGTGTGACAAGCAAATTTTATTTTAAATTGTTGAGAGTTATTTACTTACTATTTTAGTAAAATGCCATACTATTTTATCAATATAATTAGTTCTCTTATAGACGGGAGCAAAAAGAAATCATAAATATTTAATTTTAATTAAAAAAATAATTATTGTCATTAAACATATAAATGAACACGCCGCTGTTGTGATAAACATACCTTCAACCTTGAGCCGAGATCTTTCGGACACTCGATTCTATAGCGAGAATAGGGGACTGCGTAGTCTATATATTATACGTCATTGCTTTTACACCACAGAATAATAAACAATCAGAATGCCCACTCTCCATGAAAAATAAAGTACTTGCATCTCGTTCTCGCAGACGTTCCGCCATGTTTTACAGGGTTGAACCAGTGTTGTTTATGTGGTGTGCATAGACAAAATTAACCCGGTTTTATTGACTAACGGCAATCATAGACATACTTTACAATTTTATTATATTAACATTTTTAAATATAATAACATAAATATAATATAATTAAACATAAATATAAACAATTACATAACCTCACAAATCATAATGTCTGTGTTATGTGTTTCCTTCTAAAACATGGCGCGCGTGCTGAACAACTTCAAAGGCGGCATCTGAGAGTGGGCATTCTGATTGTTTATTATCCTGTGCTTACACAGAGAACGTACATTTACTATCAATCTGTCGGTTGTCAATCAAAGATTAAATGTCATGTCATTATTGAATTGTCAAAACTTAATAAATAAATACAGATGTAGGAAATAAAATTTGTAAATATTTAATAAAATAACATTTAGTTATTTATAATGGCTACCAACCATCAAAACCTTCCAATTTCGAGTATTCTTAAATCAAAAAGTGAAGTCGATGATGAACCAAAGAAAAAATCAAGAGAAGATTGGCGTAAAGCTAAGGAACTTGAAGAAGCCCGAAAAGCTGGTACAGCTCCGGCTGCAGTCGACGAAGAAGGAAAAGATATCAACCCCCATATTCCACAGTACATTTCTAATGCACCTTGGTATTATGGTACATCTGGACCTACTCTTAAACATCAAAGACCCCAAGAAGAGAAACAGAAGGAGTACTCAAGCATCGACGAATGGTACAAGCGTGGAGTTGACACTGTAAGTTTAATTTTATGTCCAAATAATGATAAAATGTAATATCTTTTTAATCTAATAATTGAATCCCAATGTTTACAGTATTATACTATTTGTTAGTAATATATAAAGATTCCAAAATTGTTTTTAAATAAGCAATTATACAGTAACATATAAATTGTACAATTTATTTTTTATTTGTTTGTTGCAGTCAAAAATAGTTACTAAATATCGCAAAGGTGCATGTGAAAATTGTGGAGCTATGACTCATAAAAAAAAAGATTGTATGGAAAGACCTCGCAAAGTTGGAGCCAAATTTTCCGGAGCAAATATTGCACCAGATGAATTCGCCCAGAAAAATTTAGCATTGAGCTTTGATGGAAAAAGAGATAGATGGAGTGGGTAGGTGTTTATTTTGAAATTTTTTTGTTTACTGTTTATAAATTATAGTACACTACACATCCCAAATACAAATAACTCTCTGGTCACATACCATCACAGAGATGATGTTGTTCCAGTCATTTGCTAATATTAGCATGAAAAGTGGATGAATTTAACAGTATTTATGCTTAGAGTGCCTTCTCCTATCTAAAATCTGCTATAAGTTTGGATAATTAAATTAAAATAAATGATTAAAAATAATTATTTTCATACTAGTGAGGATTGATAAAGATCTTTGGGTGAAAGTTGTTAGTTTTATATATATTATTGCTAGGACTTCATTTTTCTAAAAATTTTTGAGGTTATCTTGTTAAAATGAAATCTTGTAATAAATGCTCAACACCCATCAATGACGAACAAATGGAGAAAGATGCTAGATGTGACAGCTGCCATGTGATTTCCCATTTGGAGGAGAAATGCTCAGGTATTTTTGCAAGTGAGCATAGATCCATTGTCATTCAAAAACAGATCATTTTTTTCTTCTGCGGAGACTGTGTGCTTTCCTTAAAAAATACCTGTTTTAACTAACAAATTTATTCAGCTAGAGGAGCAAATCAAGTCTTTAAAGGAAGAACTAGACATAATTAAGCAACAACAGCAGTTTGGTGCTGTTGTTGCATTGGTGGAACAACTAATGTGGAGACATTATTCCACAAGTTTGAGGATCGTGCTAATAGTCTGATGGTGTATGGCATCCCTGAATCAATAAGTAATAATATTCAAGAAAGAATAAATGCTGATAAGAGTGCACTTACTCCCATTCTCAAAAACATTGGTCTTCTCAGAACAATGTGCTGAAGATATTACGAGTGGGGCAGACATCTGATTGCAAAAACAGGCCAGTAAAGGTGGTAACCAAACATCGACATTTAGTCAAAAACGCAATTAATAAGCGCAATCGCATTGAGGATGGCATAAAAATAGGCTCAGATAAAATGAAACTTCAACAGGAACAGTTTTAAACTGTTTTGACAGAGTTGCGTGCTTGAGAACAGAAGGGAGAATTTGACTTGACTATTAACCCATTATCTCCCACTGGACCCATTTAGGGACAGCAAACAAAATTTCACTGTAGCGCCTTCTATTGACAAATAGCAAGAGTTCACTACGACAGAGTGTTAGTTTACATTGTTTTCTTCTTAACTTATAGCGCTGATGTTTCTCAGTTCGACCAACGCAGCAGCAGGTACAACTTTGTAAGCAAGGTCACGCCTTTGTCTGCAAGAGCGATACATGCTTTTACTAAAAGACGAGTAAAATTAAAATTTCATTTGTTAGCAGTGTTTATTATAACCAAACGTGTAGTTGTGAGTGTAAGTTATTGTGTTTTCAACAAATTTTATCGAGTTTTCTGAAATTGTAGATAACATAAGTTAGGTAAGTTAGGTATCCTCGTATGGGGACACTGGGCGGAAGCCGTATATATAAAATACATGTGAATATTTTTACAATACCATTTTTTTATTTCAGTTTGTTATGGAACCAGAACATTTAGTACCGATCCCTCCGAAAAGTTTTTATGGAAGGAAGTATCGTCATTTAGATGCTGCTTTACAAGACGTTGCTACAGCAGATATTGAACATGAAGTAGACATTGTTATTATACCGCCCGATGCTGACCCACAGACCGATGAAGAGGACTTGGACGAAAATGATTTAGAAGGTGTCGAAAATATATTTCCTACAGACGTAGCTGGTGAAATCGAGTTACAGCATATAAACAGCAGTGATGAAGAAGAAAGTGAGGACGAAGACAGCTTGCCACTGTCTGAAAGGTTAAACAACTTGAAATCAAAACGGACCAAAAAAATAAAGATAAGTCAAAAATGGACTAAGAATTTTGTTGATACTAGTATGCCAGCAACTTCCGGTTGGGCTGACCGTTGTGAAATTCTAAAAAATGAACTGGAAAACTGTAGTCCAGTTGAAATATTTGAAAAGTTGTTTGATGACGAAATTTTTGACTATTTAATGCATCAAACAAATTTATATTCATCACAAAAAAATAGACACGACTTCTTTGTTTCAAAAGCTGATCTCAAACTTTTTGTGGCAATTTTACTCCTAACAGGCTATCATAAACTACCAAGCGAACGTAATTATTGGAGTCTTGATGAAGATCTTGGAGTGCCTGTGGTCGCAAAAAACTATGTCAAGGAACCGATTCCAGGAAATCAAAAGGTATATTCACTTAGTAGATAACGATTATCTACATACCAACGACAAAATGGCTAAATTGCGGCCTCTAATGTCACGTTTAAATCAAAGATTTCAACAGTGGGGCGTTTTACATGAAAACCTGTCAATCGACGAAGCCATGGTAAAGTTTTATGGTCGGCATTCTAGTAAACAATATATAAAGGGAAAACCAGTACGCTTTGGTTATAAGAACTGGATGCTGTGCAGTTCCACAGGATATTGTTATGCCTTTGACACTTATTGTGGTGCTAAAGGAAATCCTCAAGTTTACGATTTACCCTTAGGATCTCGGGTAGTTCTTGATCTTCTCAAAATTGTTGCTGTGCCCTCTGATCATGTAATTTTTTTTGACAATTATTTTAGTAGTCATGGTTTACTAAAAATGCTGAGACATCAAGGTTATCGTGCCACTGGTACGATAAGAGAAAATCGAACTAAAAAATGTCCGATGACAAAAGTAAAACTATTCAAAAAGAAAGAGAGAGGTTCTTTTGAACACTATTATGATAGTGAGTCAGCGCTTCTTTTTATTAGGTGGCAAGACAATAACACTGTCTCAATTGTTACCAACTATGACAAACTGCATCCTATTAGTACGGTCAAGCGCTGGTCATCAGTAGCCAAACAGAAAGTAGATGTGCAACAGCCACACATTTTCAGTATGTATAATAAATGCATGGGTGGAGTTGATTTACACGACCAGGCAGTAAGCAACTACAGGATTTCTGTTAGAGGTAAAAAATGGTGGTGGGTGCTGTTTACAAACATGATCAACATGACTGTTGTCAATGCCTGGAGACTGTTTCAATTAGCAAATGATGATCCAATCTCATTGTTAGAGTTTGAACGAATTATAGTGCGCTCTTATTTAGCTTGCAATGAAAAATCGACAAAACCTAAAAACCGACCTGCTGCGCAATTACCACCAACTGTACGACATCATGAGGGAGGTCATTTTCCAAAAAAATTAGATCAACAGCGGCGGTGTACCCAGTGTCACAAAAAAGCTAGGTGGAGTTGCTCAAAATGCACAGTGGCCCTTTGCATTGAACGAGACTGTTTTAGAGATTATCATTCCTAAGATGTTTATTGAAGAAATCTTTGTTGTTTATTTTGCTGTAGATACTGATTGATTTTTATTTAGTTTTAACCATTATTGTATTTTATTTTGAACTTAAAAAAAAAAATAACATGTTATGTAAAACTTTCATTTTTTGTAACACTTTATCCCATTGTCCCATTTGGGGACATATATATATGTTGTATACCGTAAGTAATTAAGTATGACTTACATTTAATTTTTTGCTTATAATAATACCCCTAATAAGATTCAGTAAAATTTTTTTTATTTTTTTCAAAAAAATGTCTTGGGTTTTAATGGGTTAAATTGACAAAGGGGCTTCCGACAGTTGCTAAAAAAACTTCAAAAAACCAAATCGCAGTAAACACTATGTCTGTATATTATCAGAATCTAGGAGGAATACGTACTGGACTCAATGAAGTTCGAACCTCCATCTTCCAATGCAACTATGATGTCATCATTCTGGGAGAAACTTGGCTTAATCAAGATTATTCAGATAATGAATTGTTAAACTCTGCCTACCAAATTTTCAGATTGGATCGTAACTTAAGAACTAGCACTAAGCAGCCTGGAGGAGGAGTTTTAATTATGTAACGAAACCATTTTAAAGCTAAACAAATCAAATATGACATTAATATTGTTGAGCATCTGTTTGTCAAGTGGATTATGAATGTGCATCAGTTATCTTGGGTGGAGTGTACATTCCTCCAAACTCATCAGAAGATATTTACCTTCGGCAGTTAAAACAATTAAAAACAATAGGCTAGATGTACCTTTTATTTGGCGACTACAATTTAGCACTAGCTTCTTGGGCTTACTCATATGAAGAGGACTTGCTCATTGACTGCCTACAAAACTATCCAAAGCTGATCAGCCAAAGCTGATATGTGAATGCTTCTCTTACCTGAACTTGAGGCAATCAAATATTATACTGAATCAATGTGGAGTATTTTTGGATCTCATTTTTCACAGTGTTGAAGACTATCAGAAACTGTCAGTGTATGAGGCTTTGCTTCCCAATAACTTTCATCATGTGGCAATTACTTGTGATCTTAGTTTTGACATATCCTGACAGCCACTTACTGTTGGAATTGTATTATTTACACCACGGAATTTTATAAGGCACCAAAAACTACTAGGGTCAGTTTGTACATTATTTTCAATATTTTCATTGTGACACCTATATTGATTTTCTAATATTAAATTATGTCCGTTTATAAATGCCATTAGTTTATTCTTTACACCTTTTATATGATTTACTATCAGTGCTTATTAGTCAATGTATTGTGTTTTTCTCCTGTAGCTTCAGTTATAAACTGGAATGCAGACTTAAATATGAACTCTTAATGATTTTATAGTATATCTCCCTCTCTATCTCTGTTTGATGTTGTCCCTCCTAATAGACAACTGGGTACATTTGTGTGTTTTTTAGCCAATAATTAAAGGTGGCTGATTGGCTAGTTTATTTTATAGTGTAAACCTAAACTATATTAAAACAAAATGACAATTTTATTATTTCTTTGAATTGTTACTATATTATTAATATTAAATAATATATTTTTTTACAGGTACGACCCATCTGAGCACAAAGCAGTAATAGAAGAGTTCCAGAAAGTTGAGGAAGCTAAAAGGCAACTGAAGGCTGACAAGTTAAATGCTAACGAATCTTCTGACGATGAAGAAAAAGATGAGGACAAATATGTAGATGAAGTAGATATGCCTGGTACTAAAGTAGACAGCAAACAGAGAATTACTGTAAGAAACTTGAGGATAAGAGAAGACACTGCCAAATATTTGAGAAATCTTGATTTAGGTTCTGCTTATTATGATCCCAAGACGAGATCAATGAGGGAAAACCCTAATCCTGAAAAAGATGCTACGTGAGTATTGATACTGTATATAAGTAAAGAATAGTAGTAATATAGTATTCCAAGAGGGATTACCATACATTATAATTGTAAAAAAAATGAAAGTCATAAAAACAATACATCTTAGTCAAAAAACAACATGATTTGTAAACAAATAATATTAAATGTTATAGGTACAGTGGAGAGAATTTCGTTCGTTTTACTGGTGATACGACCAATCATGCTAAGGCTCAGTTGTTTGCTTGGGAAGCATATGAAAAGGGTGTGGATGTTCATCTTTTAGCTGAACCAACAAAATTAGAACTGCTCAAAAAAGAATATGAGAAAAAGAAAGAAGAGGTTAAATCGACAATTCAAAGCAGTGTGCTAGATAAGTATGGAGGACAGGAACATTTAGAGGCACCACCTAAAAGCTTGCTGTTGGCTCAATCAGAAGTTTATGTGGAATATTCAAGGTAAGTGTAGTTACAAAGTTATTTTATATATTAATGTAATCATATCCTGATTAGTTACTTGCAAAATGTTCAAGACTACTAAGCTATTCTAAAAACAGTATGGTGTACAGAGTAATCTATTTGAAAACAAAAGTTCCCTATATTATCAGAAAACGGAAAATCTGACAACACAAATTATATATAAAACATTTATTTCCAAATTTATAAGAAAATTTTTTTGTATTGTGTATGTTTTTTAGATCTGGTAAAGTCATTACTGGGGCGGAAAAAGAAGTCATTAGATCCAAATATGAAGAAGATGTGTACATAAATAACCACACATCAGTGTGGGGATCGTATTGGAGAGGAGGACAATGGGGATACAGATGTTGTCACTCCTTCATAAAGGTAAAATAAATATTACGTAGTATTTTTTCTATGAACGGAAATGTTGTTTTACATAATTTCCGAATGTAAAATACCACTTTTTGTAATGATGCTCTATATTGATAATATGTTATATTATATTAATAGTTGCAATAAGTATTCGGCAACAAATAACAATACTTATCACAAAGGCACATGAATGTCATTGTTACCATGCAACAGACAGAAAAATATTACTGTAGTGCACGGAAAGGAATATCTCTGTAAATATCACTAATGATAGTTGGATACCTTATCATCCATGGCAGAAAAAAATATCCAGATTTCGATGGTGTCAAAGTCTTGTGGTAGTATATAAAAGCCATATGTATTAGGCTGTTGCATTCACTGGATTTCTTGATTCTAAATATTTGCAAAATTGTCCACAGTGCCAAAGTCTTTTCTATATTTAGCTTAATCTACCGATAGATACAGATTAAGTTTTGCTGCCAAACGATTTGTTATTATTATTACTAATTTATATATTTGGAACAACAGACTTGTGAGTCTTTAATTCTCTATGTTCACCTTATTGAGCTTTTTTTGTATAAAACATGACCTCTGCATTTTCTATTTTTCCAGTATTTTGGTTTCTAGTAAGTACACTTATTAAACAAGTTTTTATGTTTCTTTTAGTATATTTTCTGCCATGTTCAGCACTTCCCAGGTTAAAAACCTAGAATCGATGAAAAGAGAGAACTTTTGTTCAATACCAGATATGTTTTAAACATCTCTACCAAAACTTACATTTTTATTATTTACATCTCCTGGATCAGCTTTTGGAATAAAATATAGTTTTTAAATTTATCATGTTTTGCAGTTTTCAAATGTCTTCTTTGTTTTTTAGAATTCCTATTGCCTAGGCGAGGCAGGAAAAACGGTTAACGCTCCTTTAACCCAAGAGGTTCCAACGGATCAAGACGTTGGTGAAGCAAGCAGTACAAAGGAAGCCGGGATATCAGACGGTGAAAGCGAAGATAGTAGTTCCAGTAATTCATCAGAAGGTGAGAAACTGAAAAAGAAGCAGAGAAGATTAAAGAAAAAGGAAAAGAAGGCAAAGAAAAAGGAGAAGAAGGCTAAAGAAAAGTTGAAGAAAAAACAGGAAAAAGAAATGGCCCCAGAAGTAGATGAGCAAATAATGTTGGACGATAGGAAAAGGCCGTACAACAGTATGTTTGACGTTAAGAAACCCACAGAGGAAGAAATGGAGGAATATTATAAAAGGAGAAAGAGGGATGAAGATCCTATGAACAACTTTATGTAAATAAGTAGTGTCTATGTAAAAACTAATTTTTATTAAATGTAAAACAATATAATAGTTTTACTGCATTCTTTTTATTCCAAGATGATACCGAAACACAAGAGCATTCAAATTATGTATCACATGTTATATATTGTCATTTAAGAAACATGTCATTGACGAATATTTTGACAGATGTCAATAGAAAACAAAATAAATCCCATGAGAATATGGAAAACTAGAAAAATAAATTGATCGAGTGTTTTAAACGGTACACTACAAATAAGCTATAACTTCATGTTTGCGACTTCGCAGTAACAAACAGATTTCAATCTTAATAGTCGTAATCTTTTCCCCACTGGTGGTAACAAATAAAAACTAATATATTCGCTATTTACTCGTATTTCATTTGCTATGACGCATGTAAAGATTCGATCAGTTGTTTATTTTGTACTCATCCAGAAGCCTTCTTTAAATCAATACATCAAAATTTGTCTTATAGTAAATCTATTTTTATCCATACTCCCCTATGATATCCCGTATGTCGCTATATGTTCATTAATAACGAAGATAGGGTGTAGTGCCCTTTTGTCAGTCACTTTGTTTGTTTTTTCTATCGTAATATATTCGTTATATACTCCCCTTTGATTTGCTAGGTCGCATGTTAGGATTCGATCGGTTGTTTATTTTGGATTCAGCCAGAGGCCTTCTTGTAAGTCAATAAATCAAAATTTGTCTTATAGTAAATGTATTTGTATTCTGAAATGAAAAAGACAGTAAAGATTAGATTTCACGTACAAAGCGTCTATGTATCTGTTTATACGTATTTCATCAGAACAGCTATTCATAGGCGTTTTCAACGTGAAAAATAAATCTTTTCTGTCTTTAAGAAGCAACATTAAAATGGCTTCGATATCGACGCAATAGCGACATCTGATAATAAATCCGTAAAATAGTTTCGATTGGTTCCTAAACTATTTTACGTATTTGTATTCACATTGCCCTATGATATCTCGTATGTCGCTATACGTTCATTAATAATGAAGATACTGTGTAGTTCCCTTTGGTAGGCGCCTTTGCTTGTTTTTTCTATTTGAATATATTCGTTACATCAACAATAACAACGGAGATATGATGTAATGTCGCCGCTGGAGTTTCCCTTACGGGCAGACAGACAGAATAAGCAAATTATATGTATATTGATATTGTCGGGTGATATCTAGTATGCCGCTGTACGTCCATTTATAACGAAGATAGGGTGGAGTGCCCTTTTGGTAGTCGCCCTGTTCGTTTTTTATCTTCATATAATCGTTATCCTCCCCCTTTCATTTAACACATCACACGCTCCAATCGAAACAATAACCACGGAGATATGATGTAATGCTGACGCTGGGGTAGTCATTACGGACAGACAAACAGAATATGCAAATTATATGTATATGATTGTGGATGAAGCAGAAGATATAATTTTGTATGCATTCAACATATCTCTCAAGAACAGTAAGTCTTTAACCCTACAATGCGCAATGTAGCTGATCTGATACAAGTGTATTCAAACCCATTTGATTTATTTGTGTATACAAATATTTCTCCGCTGCACATTGTAGACGTTCAGATACACCTTTATGCAGCTCTTATTGTATTTTTATTCCGTTGTTCATTCAAACTCTTGGCGCATTCCACTACCGTGTTGTCGGCTTGTGTTGCACGTAGAGCTTGTATAACAAGACGTGCTATAAGGTTTGTATTTTAAAATCAAAGTCATACATTATTCAAATAATATATTTTTTTTTCACTGTACATCCCTTTAAAATAGACGTATCAGATCTGATACATTGTGCTTGAAGGTAAATTTTATTTGCAGCGCCAATTTCATTCAAAATGATGCGGAAGTTTGATATGAAGAAAATTCTCAGTGAGAAAGAATTGGAAGAAATTGCTGAACACTTTTTCGATAGAGAAGACGACTTAGATGATCCAGATATTAATGAAGATGTCTTAGGTGAGTTGAATGATAATAACTAACTTTCTCTGTCAATTGAATTGGAAGACGGCACTGTTTTACAAGATGTCATTAATGATGATATGCGAGTAGAGGAAGAAGAATATGTCGAAAATGATGAAATTCCAGAACTTGTTCCAGAAGTTCATAAATTTGATAAGGTAATGTATAAAAATATTTTATGGCGTACGAAAAATCAATTCCAAACGAGGATGCCTTTAAATTCAGAGGTAATACGGAGTTACCAAATAACATAAGTGATCTTAAAACACCGTTTTCATTATTCCAGTATTTTGTTGGACCAGGTCCCTTATCAAGAATTGTTGATGAAACCAACTAATATGCTTTGGAGAAGGATCCAAATAGACCAGCTAATGTAACTGAAAATGACATCAAACAATTTATAGGAATTATGTATTTATATGTCTATAGTACTTATACCCGATGTGAGAAATTATTGATCACCTACACTTGGGTTTGATAAAATAATTAGTGTTATGAGTTATAATAAGTTTGTGAAGATTCGAAGTTACTTGCATTTTAATAAAAACTCCAAGAACCAAGAGATCAACCAGAGCGTGATAGATTACAAAAGTTACAGCCCATCATCGATGAGCTGAATATACTGGAAATGAAAATAATCCCAAATACAGAAAATCAGAAGAGCCAGATTTGGGATCCAGTGCTAATGTAGTCGTTCAATTATGTAGAAGTGTACCACGTAATTTGAATTATAGAATATATTTTGATAATTACTACACCTCAATACCTCTTGTTACTTATCTTGCACAAAATGGAATTCTTTCTCTAGGAACAATTCGAATAGGGCGAATTTCCAAATTATCGAGGCGTTTCCCAAGAATATGTGGCTGATGTTGATGGGGTAGAAATTTCTTCAGTAGTGTGGAAAGACAATAAAATAGTGACACTTGTATTTTCTTTCACAGGAAAATTACCTTTATTGCAGGTGAAACGCTCTGACAGAAAAGAAAAGAAACCAACTGAAATAGAATGTCCTAATTTAATAAAAGAGTATAATAGACACATGGGAGGTGTCGATTTACTAGATGGATTGATAGGAAGATATAAAATCAAAATGCGCTCAAGGAAATGGTATTTACGAATTTTTTATCATTTGATTGACATGGCCATAATAAATGCCTGGCTGTTATATAGGAAAGTCACAAAATGTCGCGAAGGCAACCATTTATCTTTGGCAAAATTTCGGGTAGACATTGCATATTGCTTATATAATCAAGGCTCTTCAAATTCGAATAAAAGAGGACGACCAAGCGATCTTAAGAGTATTCAAGAAAAAGAGGAAAAAATCTGTGTCTACTTCTTTTATACCGCCTAAAGATCGTCTAGATGGATTTGACCATTGGTCCGTTTATGATGAAACACGTCAAAGATGCAAAAAACCTAATTGCAAATCGTTTTCGTTCAATTAAGTGTTCAAAATGCCGTTTACACTTCTGTTTGAATAAGAACAATAACTGTTTCATGAGTTTTCATGAGGACTATTTTTTTTTCTATTAAATAGATGAACTTTTTATTTATCTGGCACAATTTTTTTTTGTTATTAAATAGATGAACATTCAGCAAGGAAAAAGTTTTTCGACTCGAAAAAAAAAAACTGCGCATTGTAGGGTTAATAATAAAGTATATTCACTTACACTCTATAATAGACTTTTGTTGCCAATACGTTGTAAGAAAAACAGTACACTACAATTAAACTATAGCCTCGTGTTTACAACTCCTGACGATCTTTAATTAATATTATTATGCATAAAAGTCTCAATTTTTATTTTACAGTCAATACATTTAAATCGATATCTCCAAATGATCCTCAATTTTTTCATTATTTGAAATATTAATATTTATTTAATTTTATATAGAAACACTAACAATTTTATTGCAAAACTTTATTAAAAAATTTCAAAAAATCGCTTCAATTTATAAGGGTAGTAATCAAGTCTATTTTTTATTAAATTTATTTATTGTCGTATCATAATTATGCATATCAACAAAGAACAAAACTACAATAAACAAAACTATAATAAACGGACATATATAAAAGATGAACTAATATATCATTATTTTAATTATAATTAGGTACATTAGTAATAACAGTAGAAATTATAAAAAACATAAAACTGTTTTGTAAACAAAAACCTAATAAAGAAATGTATCAGGTATACTTCGGACACATGTCAAGAGATATTGATGTTTTGAAACTATTGATCGATGAAATAAACTATTAGTTTACTGGTTGCTAACTGGTGTCAGTTGTGAGGTTTATTTGGCATGTTGCAGAAGAAATGTCAGAAATAAATCATTCCAAAATACGGAATGTTTATCCCCATAAACCTTAAAAACAATGATAATAATAATAAACTCGATATTAATCATAATCAACAGTATAACATACCATGATTAACAACAAACTTGAAACTACACAAATATAAAGGTACAGCCACGTATTGCACAGCCAAATAATATCAACATTATAAGATTTTGGAACTATAGACTATTTCTATATAAACCAGAATTTTGAAGTTGATATAAGCAGCAGCATATTAAATGGAATATTATCATCATTTAAATATAAAAATAGGGTTAAACTTTGTACTTATTACAATGAATACACATGAATTTTAAAGAGAAAACGTTTAACATTATCCAAACATTCATCTTAACATCTTCCGGCAGGGATATTTGGAATAGATGATACCGAACCTGGGTTCCCATCCTTTACCGTACTGTTCGTCCCTCAGCCGACCTAGCAATATGTCGTTTATACGCTTTTTATTTATTATAAATCTATAATTGGTTTCAAATGAGTGTAGAGTAATAAATCATGAAGTGTCATAAAATTTGCCTGAATTTCGGTGTCGTCATGGGCGTAGGCAAATGGACGGATGTCAACTTCGTCGTCAAATATTGATGTACCTCAAAATATCATATTTTGGATATTTTGTGATAACCAATTTTATTTAATTTTTCGATTAACTTATTCTTCAAACTCGTATTCCATTATATGGTCATTAAAGCTAATTACATTTTTATTTATAAAA